CCCCTGGAAGGATCTCAGGGACCCTCAGGGATCCTTCAGCCACACTTGAGGACTGGTATCCTAGACTGGCTCACACACTGATTCTTCCACTCAAGAGGGAAAAGAGAACTGAGTACTTTGTGGTGGCTTCCATGGACATCTTGCAGTGCTTGCCTGGGAGAGAGAAAGAAATTTTTAACACTTAATGTTCACCCAGAGGAAGCATAGTTCTTGGATTTTGAAAGAAGGAATGTAAACTTGGAGAAGACCACGATAGACAACATAACTTATCCTTTCAGGGTCACATTTACCTTATTCCAAGATCTAAAACTTCATGCTGACTTTAAGGGTCCTCAGGAAAAATCTATCAAGAGCCCCGAATAACCAGTACTATAGACATGAGGTTCACCTGAATGTTCCTTTCAGCACTTGTCCAGCAGCCACTTCCTTGGACTGATTGTTGTAACCAAAGAACATCTCCCCAAAGAGGGTCTGGTTCATGGGAAGCTCCCTGCTTTCCCCACAGTCAGCACCCTCTGGGCAGGTCTCCACAATGAGTTGGCATGAGCGTCCATCCACACCAAGCCTGTAATCTTCAATGCACCTGACATAGTGCAAAACTCAAGATAAGAAGTTATTCCATTGAGAGCGATGCAGTCAACTTGACACAACAGACTAGGAAGAAATGCCTCTGGGAGAGTGTTGAGTCACCAAAGATCCCAATTTGATTCTGTACCCTGTATAACTCAGCCTTTTTAAACCTATAAAACGAGTCTCCTTCCATTATGTAATCACACAGAATCTCTCACCTTCCTTTGCAGGTAAGAGCTCTCAGAGCTTTGGAATGCTCCCTCCTCTAAGTGTATGATTTCCCAGATACGTCAGAGTGAGAAGTTGTAAATTACTTCATGCATTTAAATCCACGATATTCTAGAGCCTTTCTCTAGAACCATCTATATGGCCAGACTGTGCATTTCTTTGGAGGGTAATTAGGCACAAAAGGAATGACACTGTGCTGAAGAAATTAATAACCTTCTAATATGGTCCTGTTACAAGTCAACTAAGAAATGACAAAGATGGATGGATCATCTTCCAGATTCATTAATCATGTTCTGTTTGAATGTATCCAAACACAAGAACAACCCATATTTACTCTCCCTCCATTCAAAGTAGCCTTCCTGAACAAAATGGATGCCAGGGCACACAGTGTGAACACCCCACCCTGGGCACCATTAAGCATAGACAGTGACTCTAATGGAAGAACAATACTGATGTTGGTAAATATGGGTCAGTGACCTTATGTGTAGTTACATTGAGAAGAATATAATTCGTTAGTTCAAGTAAGAACTACTTTGATAAAGCTGTCATTTAAAAAGCATATTCATTTAATTTGGGCCTCTCCTTAGAAATATAGCAGATTTAGAATTTATAGATGTTCCCAACACCAGAACATATCATTAATTACTATCTACAGTAATTGTTGTAATAAGATAAAGACCTCTGTTCTATATAGAGGAACAAATAATCACAGTTTTCAGTGGTGTGATGAGAAGCAATGTTGTAATGGTAATGATGCTGTCCTTTACTGGGTGACCTTGGGCCAGTTGATTAAACTCTCTGAGCTTCAGTTTCTACATCAATAAAAGCAGGAAAAACAGTAGCTGCTTCACTGAGTTGCTGAGAAGATTAAGTTAGATAATCAACTTAAAGAACTTACACTGGGCCTAGCACATAGCAGGTACTCATTAAATGTCACTCCACCATTATTAGCAGAAGTATAAATGAGGCCCATGTTAACTCAACTTTAACTGTCTGTTTTCCTTATTTACCATTTACATATCTGTGTGAACAGGTGTGAGTAGAGCTCTTTAATTATAAGTGCATGTGATTTAGTCTTTATATAAAAATCTCCAATCAAGGACTTCTATTGGCAGGTTATATATAGTGGCTTGGAGAGTGCTAAATATACATGTGTACTGAATTCTGATTGAAATAGGGAAGAAAGTCCAGTTAGGGACCTACTGCATTAGTCCACATAACAGATGTGACTTGAGGCCCACAAAGGACTCTGAGGCACCAGCCTAGGTCTGGGACAAGATGTCTCTTTCCTTGAGCCATAACATAATGTTTCTGGAAGAAGTTTTGGAGCTGGCTGATTCCCTCTCAGTCCATCCTTAGAGTTTTGACAGCTTCCCCTTCCACCCCACCCCACTTCCCCTATCCTCTGTTGTGTTCATACCCATACGCCCCACTCTAAACTCCTCTGAGGGCAGGGACTACGTCTCGTATCCTTCGATGTCTCCTACGCATAGCACCTAACTTGGTTCTCTGCACACACTAGGTGCTCAACTGTATGTCTGTTAAATAAATAAAGCTATGAGACTTTGGCTGAATTTACCTCTATTAATTGAACTGGGTTAATCATAATGATAACATTACAGAGTCATTAAGATTTAGATCAAGCTTCCACTTATGGAATGGGATTGTATAAGAAACTGAATATGAAAATTGCTCAACTGCAAAGAAATAAAATAAAGTAAAATACAATAAAATAATGTTAGTACTCCACCAATAATCTTTTCATGATTATTCAACAGGCACTGTTTTTTAGCAACAACCCAGCATAACTTTATTATTATAAATACTGGTTTTCATTGCAAGCCTATTAGATTGTGAGACCCTTGAGGGCAAGAGTCACCTGTCACTGGTCTTCGCTGTCCAGTGGCCAGCATGGCAGGTGGTATGAAGCAGAGCCCCTGGACAGGCAGGAAGACGAGGGGAAGTGGGGAGGGAGAAGGGAGGGGAGGGGAGAGGGGGTAGACGAAAAGGAAGATGGTGGAGGGAAGGACAGACAAGCAGACTATGGGTGTAGAAAAAGGGGTCAAATTTTTACTTACTTTATAAATATGACACGAAAATGTCTTTAATATAATTCCAGTCAGTAATTTAAATTCTGAGGGAACCACAGAGTTCTTGAAAGACCAGGGAAAGCCTGATTTCTAATCCTACTCTTCCCACTTCCCAACCCCGCCCATCTTGAGGGGGTCACTGCAGTGAGCACTAGTTTTCTCATCTGCAAAATGGGGTAACATCATCTGCCCTGTTCCCACACAGTCACCCCGGAACGCACGAAACGACTTGAGTGGAAGGGCTGGTCCACAGTCCGGGGCTCTCTAGGTCCACGGAGGAATGACTGTGTCTGAGGGAGGGTGTCTGCACGAAAGGCTGGGACTTTGGAAGCAAAATTTAATTGGGCTTCCACTCCTCCGAAGATTTCCCCCTCTCCTTCTTAAATAATTGTTTAGTTTCACACAATCTTTCCCAGGCGTTTCGGACCAGGGAATCCTTTTTGTCTCAAAACACCTAATGAACATCGTTCCACAGAACACAGTTCGGAAAGTTCCACTGGAAGCCGTGATCGGTTTCCTCCCCTCCCGGCATGGGACTAGACTCTCCCTAAGGGTCCCCCTAACTCTGACTGTCAAAGTGCTCCCAGCCCAGACCTACAGAGCCTAAGGGCTGCCCGAGGGGACCAGCCCATTCAGATTTACTCCCCTGGGTTATGCACCACAAGTCCAGCGTCCAGGCAAGCAGGGGGGTCTCACGGGCAGCTCAACTCACCCGCAGAACATGAGGATGTTGTACAAGGCGGGGTCGTCCGGGAAGGGCGCCATCTGCTGGAGACACAGCTGCTCACAGCCGCCGTTGAAGCCGTCGGAGCAGTCCACCCCGATGTGGCGGTCATAGCAGCCAGAGCTGTCCTTCATGGGGCTCAGTCCGGATGGGCACTGGCACATCAGAAAACATGCACACAGGTGGGTGAACTAGGGCCCTGGGTTCTCTGCGAACCAAGGAGTAAGTAGCCACTGACTTTTATGTTTAGCACTCAGCCTCGAAACCGTTAACATTGGCTAGTGCACCAATTTCCCACCACGCTTTAAAAGCAAGTAGCCTTTTTTGACATCTTGCTTCTTCTCTCTGGACACAGACCACACACATTTTCATTAAGGCCTATTCCTCCGAACATGCAGGAAGGGAGCGTTGTAGCAAGACAGAGCGAGGTGTGCTGGCCTCCCAACTGGGCCTCAGGCTGGCAGAAGAGTGGCAGTGATGGGCCAGAATTAAAACACATTAGCTGATTCCTTTGGCCGAGGGAAGGGAGTGCTGCTGTTGGGACTTAGTATTAATAGGATTTTTTTTTTAATGCCCAAAGCATTTTGTCAATGCTGGTACCAGACTACAGTGTTGAAGGGAACAGGTGGACCTGGTCTTCTAGCTGGGAGGACGAAGTGGACTTTTCTGTGACTTTTTGACCTTGGAAGGAGGTTTGACTGCTCTGCTGGTAGGAGTGGCCATGCACATGACCTTCTCAACTCAAATACATCCTGCAGAACGTGCATAGAGAAGGGTGCCTGCTACGTGAGCACACAGGGTGCTCACTGGGTTTGACTTTATCCCAGGGCCCTGGACGCTCTTAATGTGAAACAATAAGCTTTTTGCACTACCATGTCCTCAAATTCCCCAGGAATGACAGCAAAGGAGATAATCCAGGAAGAGATTTCAGCCAGAAACTGGGGAAGATGAAAGGGTTTTGGTGGGCAGCAGCTGTGCTCACACGGCAGGCATCACACGCCAGGCAAGGTCCAACTCATTCATCTCACTGGCTCCTCTCACCCTGACAACTCCCGTTGAGGGAAGTCGTGTGATCATCCCCATTCTACATTCTACATATGAAGAACCCATGTCACAGGGAGCTTAGGTTGGCTAAAATCACAGATCATGGCAGGGCCACACCTGAAACCTTGGCAGGCTGGCTATGGAGTCCATGACCCAGCCTTCTCCGTCCTTAGCGTACACCTCGATCAGTCTCACACAGCTGTCATCATTCACTAAACACTTGGAGCAGGACACTACGCAACATGCCTTAGGTGGTCCGTCTCACGGCGCCCTCTATGATCCTCATTTAAGAGGTGGGGAGACCATTAACATTGCCACATAACACATGCACGTCTTGCTGCCCTGGACTCCATCTATAAGTCAATGAATATTTGTTTCTATCCTGCCGCTTCTGCCTGTGCAACACATCCTGAACATTTTCATTACAGCTGATTCTCTCCAGCAGGTTGGAAGGGGGCAAAAGACTTGCTCATGGCCAAGCACCCAGTAAGGGACAGAGTTGGGGAGTCTGTTTAGATCTGACTTGCTTTTAAAGACTCTGTGCTACACATCCTGTCATCTAGCTAACACACTCCTCCAAGACAGAAAACCAGACTAAAAACACTTTCAAAACTCAGTGGGATCTGCCCCCCACCCTGCCTCTGCCTCTTGGCCTGGTAGCCAGAGCCGCCACAGGTGTGCCTCTGAAAACCCACCTCTCCTCCCTCCCCACTTCCCAGTTCAAGATCACAGCAGGATGTACACTGTTTGCTGACACTAATTCTGCAATTTCCCAAACAAATGGCCCCCCTGTGGGCCTGCCAGGCTCCCAGCCTGGTCCATCCCCCTATTCCCCATGAAGCCAGCTGGAGTGCAGGAAGGTGACAGCATTTAAAGAAGTTTCTAAGGAGCGCCCCGTGCTGTGCAAACGCAGATGCTGCAGACGATGATAAACAAGCAAATGAGGCAACTGAGGATAGCGCTCCATGTTTTCTTAGCCCCCCCACCCATCCACTTGCATGGTCACCCAGCTGTTAGGCCAGATGTGCTGCCAGAAGGGAGCTGGCTTCACCACCGTGAGGCTGTCCGGGCATGGACCTGGGTACTGAAAAATGGAAGTTTGATTGGAATTAAGTGATCTGCCCTGGTTGTCATGAGTTCCTTTATATAAAAAAATTTTTTTCTTCTATAAAGCTTGAGAAAACCCATTAAAGTAGACACAAAGCCAGTCCTCCTAGTACTCCCACCTCAGGTGTTTCAATCCTCGTACCAGCCAGCTTTCTCAGTCACCAGCCAGGACTCCCCAGTATCCCAAACACCTGCTTTTTTTCAGGATGCCCCACGAAGCGTGATTTTTCACAAAGACATCACCAAATGAAACTCGAGTAGGCTTTGTTCCAGAACTCCCAAACCTGGCATATCCACGTCTCGCCTGGCCCTGATATCTATCTAGATGGTCACACTGATATTTATACTCTCTTAAGAGGTCTGGAGAGAAGACAGAGTTAGCTGCCCTGTCCAAGTTGGACACATAAAAATAATAACAAAAGCAAAAATAATAACAAAGCAAAGCTAAAAATAATAACAGCTACCAGGAATTAAGTGATTCTATGGGCAGGTACTATCTACATACGCTATCCTTAATCCCAACAACACAGACTTTTCCCACTCCCGCACTCATTTTACTGAAGAGCAAACTTAGATTCAGAAAGATGAAATAGTAACTTGTTTAAGGTCAGAGATGGAAAATGGCAGAATCAGACTTTGAACCTAGATCTATCTGACCCCAGTGCCTGTGCGTGTCCCTTCCACTCTGCCACGCTGCTTCTCAAGTGTGAGAAAACCTGATTTCCTGTGACTTCCTAAAGACATAAAGTCAGTGTGTCAACAGGTAAAGCAATCCTGTAGGTCTGTTGTTTGTTTGACTGTTTGAAGCAACTCCCACAGTACATTCTAGGATCAGTTATAGATTTGTAGATTCACTCTAATAGTCCCTCTCTCTCTCTCTCTCTCTCTCTCTCTCTCTCTCTCTCTCTCTCTCCTTCTCTTTCATACACACCCATATAGACACCATATTATGGGTGAATATATTTATAGGGCCAAACACTGCCAACTGTCTGGAGTGATGCCCTTGAAGGCAAGGCTAGATCCTCAATCACTGAAAAAGATACAATTATCTTGACTGCACTGTAACTTACCTGGTCTGCAGTTCAGAGTAAAACATTTTTGAAAGATTTCCAGGAAAAAAAAAAGGCTGAAACCAAAAATAGAGTTTTCTTTTTAACCCTTGTTGAACCAGAATACCAATTCCCCCAGGGGTCTAATCAATCAAGATTTCCAGGGTAAAACTTTGTTTTTGTTTTTACCTACATGTCCTTTATGCCGTGGTAGTCACATTCTGGGCTCCTTGAAATCTATGTCTGAATACAAAGAAACCACAGGCTGCAAACCATGCCCTCTTCCTAAACGTATTTGCAACCAGGCTCCAGGTGTCAGGAGAGAAATTCTGCCTCCAGAAGGAGCTTGTATTTTCTCGTTGCAAGTGTGGCTTCTCTTTTCCTGGCTTGTGGATAATCCCTCCGCTTGTTCCTTCAAAGAGAACTGTGTGTTCCCGATTGAGCCCCAAGGTTACACATTAACCGCTCTTTGCATGTTCCATTTAGCAGTTCCAGAGCCTTTATAAACTATAGGCTTCAGAAGAAAATTCCATTTTTATGACAACTCTTCCCTATCAAGAAGGCTTAATAAATGAACTCATACTTCAGTGACCCCTAAAATCCACAAGGTTAATCATCTGTCCTGCAATGCTCAGGGCTCCTTGACTTATTACTGGTCTAAGGCATAATTTGCTAATGAGATTAAAATGATTTTCCCCATTCAACTCCTTTTCTTCACTGTCTTTCACCTCTTTTTCTACCAATGACTTTAGGTTGATTAATTACGTTGGAGTCTAGTCAAATCTCACTGAGCCCGAGACATACACACCACAGTTTCAGATTATGAGGTAGATGCTCTACTGGCAGATAAATATGAGTGATGGACACATAGCATATTCAGGGCCCCTGGGAGAAGCAGAATGACTTCCTGCGGCTGAGCCTGCCTCTCTTTACCTGGATGATTCATAATATATGCAGCTCTAATTCCTACTCGAAATAGGTTCCCTGTTACTATGTGGCAGTCTTACTCCTTTTACAAGTAATGATTTCGCTGACTTTTTGATGTGCTCTGACATGCAAGGTCAAGCCATGCAGGACTCCTTCTAAGGGGAAAGTTTGATGGGATTAAATTTATGTGTCGACTTCCTACCTCCATTTCTCTGAAAGCCTCTGAGGCAAACCATTCTGCTTACTGTCCTACAGAGAGAAAGAGGAATGGTCATCTGTAATGGTCTCTGCACATCTGTGCTCCAGTAGAGGTGACATGACACATTTCATGGGAAGCCATTGTGGATAGCATGTGGACAGAAGGGCAGCAGGGTCACCAGGCAATTCAGAGCTCGTTAGGGCATAATGATCTGGCAGGGAAGGTCTTGTGTTCAGCACCTGAGAAGCAGGACAGTCCACCTCTCACCTTCCCAGGCTACAGTCAGCTCACCTAAGCCCATGCAGACATCTCACAAAGCAAAGGCCAACTTCAGGATGAGTGTGAGGATGAGGAAGGAACAACTTCCACTGTTTTATAGCATCAGAAATCATTTCAAAACTTCTACACAAAGTTTTATATTAAACCTCAATAGAGAGGCTTGATGAGAATGAAGATGCCTGGGTTAATGCTGGGTGTAGAGACTAGAGTCCTGCCCCCAAAGATGGCTCCAATCCCCACTGCATTCTCCCACTGGCAGCCCCCCAAGGATGTCTGCAGTATAAACCCCAGGACCTGTAATATATCACCTTACATGACGAAAGGGGCTTTTCAGATCAAGTGAAGGCTCTTGAGATAGGGAGAGCACCCTGGATTATTCAGGCAAGCCCAGTGTAGTCACAAGAGTCCTTAAAAGTAGAAGAGAAAGCAGAAGAAGAACGAGAGAGGATGTGTTACCAGAGAATAGTCGGAAAAATGCCAGGTAGCTGGCTTTAAAGATGGAAGGAGGGACCACAAGCCCAAATACATGGGTGGTCTCAAGAAGCTGGAAAAGGTGAGGCAATGGATTATCCCTTAGAGCCTCCAGGAAGGGATGCAGCCCTGTGACGTCTTGGTTTGAGCCCAGTGAGGCCCAACTGGATCCTTACCTACAGAGCTCTAAGATAATAAATGAGTGCTGTTTTAAGGCACTGGACCTGTGCTAATTTGTTACAGCAGCAAGAGGACTCTAATACATCTGCAGGACCCTATGGGACTCCACAAACCAACAACAGCTGCTCTTGCGCCTTCCAGGTAGAGACCACAGCTCCTACCCTGGCACGGTAAGGACAATGGGTAGAAGTAGGACCCAGTTATCAGTGGTGGGTGAGCTGACCTCTGCTCTGGGATTCTCAGCCATCCAGGCTTTTGGAGAGTGGTCTGGTGTGGCACTAGCGATTATGGCTTGTAGCGGTCTGTGCCTTTCACAGGTACTTTTTCCTGTTCTCCAACAGTGCATAAACAATAGGGCAGTTAACTGGTAGCAGCTGACCCTGAGGGAGTCCACGCATAACTGAGAAATGTGCCCTGCCTTCCTCGAAAGAATGAAGGTTGAGCAGCCCATGTGGACCCACTGCACCTGCCTGGTTTACCCTCAATAAGGGAAATACACAAGTATGCTGTGTCTTCCCAAATCTCTGCCTTGTTCCCAGGTTCCTTAAGGGCCAGAATGTTGTGAATTTCTCCTCTCTTTCTTCTTTCATACAAAATGCCTTTCCTGAGAAGCCTTTTGGTTCTGCACCCAGAGAACTGAATGTCAGGTTCACGTGGAGAAGAAAGGCAGCTCAGTCCTCCCCAAACTGCAGTTGGTGACGCTGATGCCCCTGACCAGAGTCTACCTCCAGATGACACCGACCTCTCTGCTAACACTGCAGGGCCTTGGCACCATCCTGATGCCCAGTGGAGTCAGGACAGCTCAGAGGAATACCCCTGATGAATTTCTCAGTAGGGTCATGAGAGTTCTGATGTGGTAGATCAGCTCTCAACCTGTCAGCCGCCCAGCGTCAGGGATCACACGTTTCATAGCCAATGAGAAAGAGCCAGTTGAATTGAACAGCCTGGCCCCCTCACCCCTCCAAGAGCCACGTGGACCAGTGACTTCAAAGTATTATGCTAATACCAAGCACTGGTATAATTGGGTGACTTTTTGCAGTAGCTTCAATTCTAAAATGCAGCAGCCGTATTGCAAATGCATATTCAGTGGAACTATTCCTGATAGCTACGTCTCACAGATTACAGTGCTAAAAGTATAAAAATACATCAGCATGGCTATATGCCAAATAAAAGGGGCTAGGATCACCAACAGACAGCATTTGACAGGCAAACTCTTAGGGGCTCAGGAAAGAGGCAGAGAAGTGGGAAGAAATGGGGAGTACATCGGTGTGCATGTGCATGCAGTGAGAGCAGGCTCAGATTCATTCGGGGGCTGGCTTGGGGGATGGAGAGAGGTGACCATGCATGCGCATACACGGGGTTTCAGTACTTAGAATGACACAAGAGAGTAAAAAGGAATAATAGCTTGAAATCTGGATGAAGAAATGCAGGTTAGATAGTTTTTAAAGACTGTGTCTCAGCCGGGAGTTTCATTAGAGAGTGAAATTGTCCCCCGAGGGACCCAGTTGGGAAACTCAGTGTAAGACATCTGAAAATGGACCAACCAAAGGGAGGGGAGCAGCATGGAGCACCAGCTTCCCTCCTTGCTGCCTTTGGAAGTTGACCTAGAGGGCACACATCTGTGTACCTTCCTGATAGCCGCATCTGTTCTGCTTTCCCTCCCCCCTTTTGATGGACCTACCAGCTTCTCCACCTACCTGCCCCTCAGCTCTCTCTCTCTTTCCCCTTTCTTTTCTTCATTTTTTCTCCTTTCTCAGATGAATCAGGCTGCTGTCAACTGCTGCCTAATCTGTGAAAGTCTGGGGAGGCCTCAGGGCTGATCCCAGGTGCACATCCATCTTTGATGGAGAACAGCTCCCTGAACAGAGCAGGTGCTCAGAGATGGGGAAGAGGGGCGTGTGAGAGATGGAGTCAGTCCAGCGTCCTCAAAGCTGGCCTGCTCTGGGTCCTCTTACAAGAGGACCGATGACAGACTGGGAGGCAAGATGAGTCACTTTATCCCCCACTCCCAGTGGGAAGCTCCTGGTGCTGCCCCAGAAACACTACAGAACTACCTGCCTCAATGATCGCCCCTCGCTCTCCCTTATGCCCACTTTATGAATGGTTTTTCTGCCTTCTTCCTCTGCCTCATGCCCCCTCCCTTCTGAGAGGATTGCAGCATTCTGCCCTCAAAAGGAGGATGGGCAGGAAACAGATAACAGTGCTGGTAAGTACAAACATGGCCAATATAAAGGCACCAGCAGATGATGATGGCTTTGTCTGCTCCAGCCTCCGTCACCTGCAGGTTCAATCAATCTTCATACCCATGGCGTGGGAGTTATCAGATAACTAGGGTCCACTCTAGCCCAAACAGTCTTTCTAGTTCATAGCATTACATAGCTTACATGTAGCCAAAGTCCATTTAGTTGATAACAAAGTAGAAAACCACCTTTGGCAAAATAGGAGTTCATTGCCATGGTCTCAAAGGGGACTTATTTTTATTTTTTCTGTACTATTCTTGAAGTAACTTCCTTCATCATTCTGGCTTTCGGTAAGTTTCTCCTAAAATACCCTAATACAGTCAATATAATGTGACTAGACAGAGGTAGGTTCCTTCTAGAATTTCCTATTACAGTAAATACAGTCTATTTTCTACTATAGTCAATATCATACCATTAAGCAGTTAGTTCTCATGGTTTGGGGGTACATCTTACCAACTAGACTCTAAGCCTGGAAGGACAGAATCAGGTTCTATAATTCATGACACTTCCTTTGAAAAGTGAGAGCACACACAGTAGGTAATCCATAAAGATTTCCTGATTAACTGACTGGTGATTGTTCCCCATAGATGTGAAGAAAAAATTCATCATTTAGACTGGATAGTGGCTACCACGGGGGAGGGAGGGGTCATTCAAGGCCCTCTCTTGCATTCACAGTGGATTTCCATCTATGTAGCTGCACTGTTTCTTATCCTGTATGCCCCTCCCCTAAATGACCAGCTTAGCAGGGTGCACATACCACACAGCCAGTAGAGTCCAGCTTGCGATCTGAGATGCAACGGAAGTTCTTACTGCAGCCGCCATTATCCTTGCTGCAGTCACGTACTGGTCCAAAGGAATCTAAGAGAACCTCCAGGCTATCAAAGGACGACGAGGTCATCAGCTCCTCTCTGAGGGAAGAAACGGGAAGGCGGGGGTCAGGGGACTCCAGGTGTATCAAGGAACATCATGTCACATGCTCCAATCAGGCCACCCAGATCATGTCTCACTCTCTCTTACAAAAATTCAAGATCAACCATATTCTGAGCCTTGAACTAACAAATTATGGGTATTTTCCATATCTGGGAATTGAGCCAAGATTGTAACACCTGGTGAAAGAAGGAGTCTAAGCTTGGGCAAGGAAATTAACATTTTATTGCCTGTCAGTCCTTAGGGGATGTGAGAAGTGCTTACAAACTCTAATTTTATGTCCTCTTCCTGTGCATGAGCTTTGGAGTGTGCAATATTGACCCAGATAGAGTAGATCCTGGCACTGTGTATGGGGAATATGAAGGCAGCCTGCCAGGTTCCCCTTTTAGCTCGTCATGATTCCTTTCCCAGCACCTTGGACCTTCGGGTAGTTTCTCACTCAGCCTCCCAAGCTAAATGCAGCCTCAGCACCCTGAGGCCAGACTCACCTGACCTCCACGGCATCTTCCATCACTGTCATGTCCGTTTTACACTTGGCTGATGGGTTGATGGCCAGTTCAGCTGGTGGAATCACAAAGCTCTTGCTGAGGGGCAGCCACATGCCCTCCCCAAGGGTGTAGGTGAATCTGCAAGGACACCCAACACCGGGGGGTTGTGGCTGGAGGACGCCCAGCTCACTGGAGGACCTGGTACTCTACTGCCAGCTGCTTCCATCTCACCCCCTCTGATCCCCTTCAGAAAGGAGAACTTAACTTCCATTCTATGGATGAGACAACTGAGTCTGAGGGAGGCAGAGAGCCAGCTCCCCCTCACATGCCCAGACAGTTGGCGAACTGGCTATAGCACCCACTCACCAGCTCTTAGAAGTGGTTTTTATCAAGTCAGAAGAAGTTCCAGTTTCCTTCAGATCTGAAGTGGGGCTTCCCCTATCTTAAGTCAGATATAATTGGAAACACTAAAATGGAAGAGACATGCCAGCCTCCCACCACCCCCATTCCTTGGGCTGCACCCCCACAGTGGCAGCGATGGCTCGTCTTTATGCCTGGAGGAACCCTACCAAGGGAAGGAGAAAAGCTCCTCCTTTCTGGCTTCTGTGTAATGGGAACAGATGACTAACGCCAGGGGCCTCCAGGGAGGACAGAAGAGGGATGAACAAGAAGGGCCTGGATGTATTCTCTGCATGACTATCCACACGCCTAGCTAATGGCGCTAAACCTCAGGAGACAGGGAAGGGTGTTTTTTTTTTTTATTAATTCTTGCAACAAGGCCTAAAAGGAATAAAAGAATCAATCAGCATTTCAAGAGAGAGCTTAAGGAAACCATGAGAGATTATTTGTTTATTTATTCATTCATTTTATTTCAAAGGCATTCAACTGTTCTGTGTTCACAGTCAAAAATAGTCTATAGAATAAAAGCCAGTGTGGGTGGGATATCACAAGGCTGTATGTAGCAGTCTGGCATCCTCTTCCAACTTAATGTGGAGGGAGGAACAATGGAAGGATGGGTACAATTAAACAGAACCCAGTGCGGCTCCATTAGCATGCTGGTCAAAGTGTCATTTTGGAAACCTGCTCCTTCCTCTCCCCAAACCTACACATTCCCCCTCCACTCCCTGGCCTGCCTGAGATACTCGGAAACCAGACTGATGATGTGAGGTCTTTTATGAGAAATGCAGTCCTCTCTAGAACACTGGCCACAGAGCATACCCGCTGACTGAGGCTCGTGAGTTACAAGCAGCCAACCCGTGTGATTTTCGCCCACTCCCTGCATGACAGCGCTTGGTGCTGGAGCAGCTGAAAGATGAGAAAAAGGGTGCCCAGGGGAAAGGCAAACCTCTGAGTGAGTGGGATGTGGCCAGGATCTGGGAGACTTCTCCCCCATTCCCATCTTTACTCTTGATCCCTTACTTCTCTGATCTGCTAGGCAGACTTCTGCATTAAGCAACAGTGAAATATCAGAGCCTCTTCTTGCTCTGAAGGGCACACTTACCTCTTCCCATCCACAGGGACATGAGGCAACAGGTGGGGCTAGGTCTGTACAGGGAAGGGTCTGTTCCAGGTGAGGAACACAGCTGTCAAGATCAAAGGCACGACAGCCCCTTTACACACACACACACACACACACACACACACACACACGTCACCTGGCAAAATTCACGAGCTGATTCAGAGCAAGTGATTGCCCCAAGGTGCCTGGAATCTGGAACTTCAGGATGAATGTGGGTTGAAGGCAATGACATAAAAGTATTTTGTTCACTCCGGATTTCATAATGGACATTTTTGAAAAAGCAACATTATAACAGGCAGGCTAGTGTGGGGGCTAGTGTATATACTAATATATACAGTATATTGTTTCAGAGAGAATATATACAAGTTTGAATGGTACCAGAAAGGAGGCAGTTTATTTGGACATAAAGGTGAGTTTTTGTTTTCTATTTTGGTCATAAAATGACATGTTTTGTGTTGATGCAGAGCAGCAAATCTGTGTCCTCTAGCTTATTATTTAAATAACAGAATGTAGGAAACAGCTGGCAGTTCTAGCATATTTCTGATGGTTAATTTTTCTCTTGGAAGAGAGAGAGCCATGCCACGCACCTCACAGGTTCCCTTTCCTCCTCTGCATGCAGTAATAATTTGAAGGGAAAAGCAAACCTCATCTTTCTCCACCTGAAATTATTTAACAGCAGGCCAGGCCTACAGAACAACATCCACATCTCCAAAGATGTCATTTCCACCCCCATCTTCAGCTTCTTCTTTTACCAAACTGTGCTTCACACTCTGTGTTCCTACAGTGCAATGTGACTGTGGTTCCTAAAGTTGTCGTTAGAGTCTCTCCTCTTTGTCTTTGCTCTTAATATTCCTTCCTTCCAGTTTTTGCTATACTTCCACTCCTTTTAAGACTCAGTTAAGGTGCCACCCCTTCCAGAAAGCCCTCCAGGACCTTCAGGGTCCACCGTCAGGCTGAGCAAGGGAGTCTGCCCAATGCAACCTGCACACTGTTCCTTGTGCCCTGAGACACCGAGGCTTGTCCGTCTTTGCACGTGTCTGCCACCACTGATGAATGTGCTCTCGTGGATGGCACAGGACAGTTCTTGGTCATCTTTGTATCCCCACCTCCTAACACAATTTCTGGCCCAAAGAGGTTACTCCATAAATATTTAGTGACTGATCAACATGGAGATTTAGTTATGTTCTTTAGGTTGCATAGGCTACTGGGGAATATAACCTCAATTTTCAAATGTAAAGGTAAAAGTGATGGTAAAGATTATCCTTCCTTTAGAGCAGGATATGGGCTAATATCTGGGTTTCGATAGATTTAAAATGGTCAAGATGGATCTGTGTTTGATATTGTGAGAAACTTGCACAGCAGCCTCTGAGACATGATGCTGTACCAAGTTAACAAGAAAACAGTGTCATCTTCCATATCTGGTAGGTCAAGGTGAAAGCCTGTAGGGAAAGCACAGCCAGGTGTGGTGTGAGACTGACCTTTACTGAAAATTTTCAGGGACAGGTGATCTGTAGAGCTGCCTTATTTATCCTCACAACAGTCATCTGAGGTTGGTCATTTGGCCCCATTTTACCAATTTTTCAACTAATATCTCATGAAATTTAGCAACTTCCCCAAGGTCATTTCTCCATTAACAGGAAAAACGGGGGTTGGTCTGATTGTCAAGTATAAATCACCAGCTTTCCAGCCCATGCTGGCTCATGCCTATGAAATTCTAAAGTTTTCTTTTATCTGCAAAATCTACTGAGTAACTCCAAAAACCAAATATAGAACAAACTGTCAGAGAAAAGCTGTGTCCTGAAATCTCATCTGTCCCTCATTCATGCCGATTTGGCAGGAACAACTTCAAAAAGTCACCAATGAGGAGTTGGGTAAGCATCTGGGATACTTGCCCAAGTTGGGCCTTCTCTCGTGACAGCTGGTGGTGACCACCGCAGTTGATGGCTCAGCTGTCGGCTGAGCCCTGCTCGTGGCACTGTTGAACTAGAGTGAAACTTCCATTCAGAGGCAAACACTTGCCAGAGAGCACTGGACAGAATAAGCCAGCCCTGTGCTCCCACTGTGGCTTGGCATGAAACAGAATGTAGGAAAACTGATCAACAGCTCTTGGCCTGGCATCTCCACTCTCTCCCAAAGCAGGCCATTCCAGGATGAGATATTATTCCCAGGGCTACAGGTTCACACTTGGGAGGGAAGGTCTCCGAAAGAGAAATTTGGTCTATACTAATTCCTGCCACCAGAGGGTCTAGTGGAATGGAGGGATCCCAGTCAGAGTGGAAAGGACATCTTTAGCACTAGACTGGGTTTGGTGAGAAGACTCAGTCCCGAGGTCCAGGGTTCCCTGGGACCCTCTGAGTCTAGCTTAGACCCTTTCAGGTTCTCTGAGATTGCAGATTACCAAAGTTACACTGGGTGTCAGGTCTTTTCTTAATCTGACTTCAAGTCCTTAGGAAATACTTGAAATGATCATCTGCAGATATTTACAGAAGACCTGTTGTGTTGCAAATTTCATGTTTGACGTTCAATAGTAAAGCCATACAGGGCACTCTCCCTTCCCTCAAAAAAGACAATCATTTCATTGGGTAAATAATGAGGCAAATTTAACATAAATATGAAATAAAATGATTGGCAACTAAATGTTATGGTCAACATGTTCTAGAAATTTGGAGGGAGAAACATCATCATAGATCGTTAGAGTGGACTGGAGAAGCTTCAGAGCAGCATCTCATAGTGCTTAAAAAAAATACTCATCATCCGGTCCCACTTCCCAGAACTTTTGAATTAATTGATTTGTGCTGGGTAAGATCATTGGTCATTTTTAAAGCACACTGGGGATTCTTGTAGAAGGGCCAGGATTGGAGAACAATTGTTAGATGAACCTATAAATTCCTTAAAGTCGGGGACTATTTTGGCCACATTTGTGTGGTCATATCTACAGCATCTAAAACAATGCCTTGCAAGAGCAGGTGCTCAACAGATGTGTTGGGTTTAGCTGAGACTTGGTCTAGACCATTAAAATGGATAGTGCTTATACTAGGAGGAGAATATGCAGTCTTGCTAGAGGAAAGAGTTTGAGCAAAATGTATGAAATGGGAAATACTCAAGTTGTTGGGGACAGTGCCTTGGTTAGAAGCTAGATTTGACTAAGAAGAGAAGATTCTATAGAAGAGCAGCTTATTAACAGGGATGTACATTGGCATTCAGCTATGGAAAGATTCAAATGTCAGAATTTAAACTTTATTCCACAGTCCAGGGAAATGTGAATGGCTTGGAATTCATCAGGAACAAAATCATAGGTGAGCGAAATAGCAAGTAAATAGTCATGCTTCAAGAAACTTCTTCAAGAAATTGAAGGTCATACAACCAAGTCTTTGAATTCTCCAGAAAGGCCATTGGCAGTTGGTTTACTCAGATCCCAGAGTGTTTGATTAAAGTTGTTAATACCTGAAATGAGGAGCTCATGACCCATTGTTTTCATCCGAGAGGTGAGTTATTGTCATGTTAGGGACTGGAACGATTAATCACTTATTGATTTACCCATTGGCTCCTAGATGATAGTTGACTGCATGGGTCAACCGATCCCCACTGTGGTGCTTGGATATCACAACCAGCTGGCAGCTAACAAACTTGTAAAGAACAAATGGTGCTTGTGGGGATAGAAACAGTTTTCATGCAGGTTCTGCTCTAATAGCAATTTCATTAAGACCCCTGTTTTTCAGTGTTCGTTTCTGACTTTCAGGGGAGAGGAAACTTATCCATGTTAATCAGCCAAACTCCACCAGGCTCTCCATCTGCCTTATCCTTATCGGCCTTTGAGGGTCCTGGCAGACTAGCAGTAGGAAAAAGGGAGAAAAAAGTCAGCCAAATTATAACTCATTGTTGGAAAGTTTAAACGCCCAAGTCATCATCTCAGGAATAAAGCTGACTTATTTATATAATAAAGCTGACAACTCTTATAGCACAAGGCTTCAAAAGCAGACTTTGGCCAATGCCATGAAGGGGACCCATCTTGCCTCAGGAGAGACACTCAGAGGAGAAAGGGCCAAGGGAAGTGGTTCTGTAAATCCGTACTCAGGCTAGGAGCGTGCCTTAGAACACTGGAAGAGCCGAGCCCAGCCCATCCTGAGCCAGCAGAGCAGGACAGGAGAAGCCAGGGCAGAGGAGCCAGCCCTAGGAGGCAATGCAAGAGCAAGACTAACGGCTGCACCAGGTCGTGCTGACAAGGAGGATCTGGGGAAGGGGTTTGGAAAGGCAGCAGTGAACAGGTGAGACTCAGCCCCCATGTGAATACAGCAAAAGAGAAGCAAGTTCCCCATTTGCCCACACTGCCCACCATTCCTCCAGTGGTGGCATGCAGTAGCTGAAGGCATTTTGCCATCAGACACTCGTGAGGACGATTTACTTTCCCCACCAGTGGGCTTGCTCATGGAGGGAGACATGCTCATGTCCATCCTGCCAGGCCACGCACAGTCTCTGGCACTTCGTAGGTACTCAGCAAGTGCAGAGTAAGTACAGGATAGACAGACAAAATAGAAGGGTGATAAGATCTTAGTTTGGAAATAAACATGAGTTCCAGCTAAGGCTGTGAATTGAACTTTATGAAAATCCAATGGCTCGTGGCCGGCACCCAAATTCTCTCTCTGCTGTTGGGTTTTCTAATATGTGCTATTCCCAGGTATGCAGGCAGAAATTTGGGAGGGACTAGAAGCATTCAATTTGATCAAGAGTGTGGTAGATAAAAGAAAATAATAAGGAAGTAGAGCTGAGAAAAGGGGGTGGCAGGGGCAGAAAGATTCATTTTGAACAACTTAAGGCTTTATGAAGAAGGTGCAAATTAGATGCAAAAAAGGAGAGGCAGAAATTGACATTAATTGCCTGCTCTGTGCCAGTTTCTGTGCCAGGGGCTTTCCCTGTACTATCTCATATATTCTTCACAACAGTAGAGCCGGGGATGTCATGCAGCCCCATCTAACAAATGCAGAAACTAGAGGCTCCAAGAGGGGGTTCACAGAGCAGGCAAGGAAGGAAGCCGGGACCTGCACAGACTGTCCCCCTTCAGAGTCCTCCCCGACGTCACTGGGCATAATTAGGGGACAAGCACTTTAGTTACTAGGAGGGCAGAATGACTAGCTGTGTTTCCCGTTTTATACTTTACCACTAGGAAAGAAAGTTCAGTGGGAGGAAGTGGGATATGGGGCTTGTAGATATACATAAGCAAGTCCCTAGACAGCTACTTACCTGAATATTTTATCAGAAGGCTGTTCTCCCAAAACCAGGTCAAAGCCTCGCTGAAATATTGTGTAAGGCCAAGGCCTAAAAGGAGAAACATCGTTCAGTTAAAGTCAGCTCAACCAACACTCCCTGAACATCCATTTGGTGCCAGGCACTGTGCTAAGTTCTGGAGATCCGAAGACAAAGAGGAGTCTGCCCTCAAGAATCCCTCTAATGTGAGTTCACACAGGACCCTGAATACTGGAACCTGACCAAGAACTGAATCAATGTAAAAATCACTGAACCTCTAGGAAAGTGGAATTTAAAAGACATGACAATAGGAACTACATAAAGAATAAAATGATATTAGGAAGGTTCTCACATATCCTTAATTCTTGATCTTTCAGCCGTAGACTTAACAGAAACAGCTTTGCTTCACTTAAGAAAAAAAGGTCAACATAATTTCTTGAACAAAGTGAAGCCTCTGGAACCACACAGTTCTGGGTTCAAACTCTGTTCTGTTGTTGAACTGTCTCACTTTGGGCAGATTATTTGCCTTATTGAGCCTAATTTCCTCATTTGCAAAAATAAGGTTAATAATAGCTGCCCCACAGACCACTGCAAAGATGAACTAAATCTCTTCGGCCAGGCCACAGGTCTTTCAGGGTCTGCAACGTGTGTCTTTTCTCTACTCAAAATGACATGATGACATGAAGATTCTGGGTCTTTGATGGGCCCCAGATGTTTTCCAACATTTTAATGTTACTCACTTAAACAGAAGCAACTGAAATGCTGTTTTTCAATAATCCTTAACGACAAGTCTCTCTAGTGAGCATCTAGGTGTGTAACAAAAACTATTTCTTTCCAATAATCTATCTCTTTTTATTAACTCAAATGTCCAACACCAAAATTATTTACTCATTCAGACAAGACTTAGTAAAGGCTGGGCTTGCGCTGGTCGCTCAACGTCATGCACACTAGATGAACTGAGTCCTTGGCCTCACAGAACATACAGCCTCGTGACAAAACTGGAGACATGCCTTTGGCTTTCAAGCACTGCAGACGGTCAGGAGAATAAATGGACATAATTACTATTTGGGGCTGAATCTAATACTAGGAATTAACCCAGTGGTTCTCAATGCAGGTGGTACCACCCAGCAGGGTGCATGTGGGGAAATTGCTCTTCAATGACACGCTGAATGAGGGCATGACTGGCATTGAGAAAGCAGGTCTGGGAAGGCTGGAGTGGTACAGTCTTCAGCACAGTGCTGCACAAGAAAACTGTCTCTCATATCCTGCAAACCACTGAATGTCTTCCTATATATTTACATAGGTGACAACTTGCTTAGAATTATCCAAGCCTCAGTGTCAACTCCATTCACATATAAGCACAAATCAGCTTGTACTGTTTTAACATGTGATGGATTTTTCAGGTGCATAACTACTATGTAAATTGAGGGAAGAATAAACATGATTACTTGGAAAATTCTACCCATGTTTGTTTATAATTTTGGAAAATTTGTCTGCCCTTCTTTCCATGGTCTTGGACTCACCAATTCAGCACATCTGGATCAGTGTATATTGCTCTTACATGATCATGTATTAAGTATTATTTCTCATGTCGTGAAACTACCAAGTATTGACACATCGAAATAGTTATTAAATCATTATAAATTTCTTATTGTTTCTTTTTAAATTATTGTGAAAGCATTATTTATTTTTTGAAATGTGCTTATAGATTTTTATTATTTATAAATTTCATTTAAGGATTATAAAAGGAGTTAAAAAGATATTTGTTATAAAACAGGGTGTTGGGTCTGATAGGGTTGAGAACCACCAATTTCACTCAAACAGCTGACTGATTCACTAGCCCAAGGCTTCTAGGAAGCCATTGAAACCACATATGGGAGTGGCTGGGAATAATGCATTCATTTTTCATGCTACTTATGAACACTTTATTCTAGAAATTCACCTCAGGCACCTGGAATTGGCTCCAAAATTACCAAAACACTGCATTATAAATAATCCCTGTCTCAAACAAACAGCTTTCCCTACGTGTTCATCACATTTGCTCTGTTCATTGGAGATGAACCCACAGAGAGGGGTTTGAATGTGATTCTTTTCTGCTGAACAGTAAGTGGTGGCCGATGGGCAACTGAAGATATGTATTAATTCAAGAAAAAGTCTAGGAATCACAAGAAAAAGTGTCCCATATGAGCCTAGACACATAGAAAGGGCAATACAAAGAGAAGAGGGACACGCAACTGATTTCTCTCTCTTTGGGGCAAAATCACATTTTATTTACTATCAGTTTAATAATTTTAAATAACACACATTTTGCCTTCAAGTCATCTCTAGTACTGAAAACTGGTACAATGTGTAATTAGAGTTCATTCTTGGCATGGTTCCTAGGTTGTTTGAAAATGTATTTTGAGGAGCCCAGTTTTAGGACGGGTGTTGATTACAATGTGAAAAATTTACTACATAGAGTAACATAAATAAACACATACTCAAGCCATGGGCACTGAATCAGTGAGCCAATGATTAAGCACCCATCGGCACGCTGCCAGGGAGGTCAGCTCAAAGAGACTTTGTGTTCTCCAGGGGCCTGAACATTAAGAAAGGAAACTCATGCTTGAAGGGCATAGATGTGCAGGACAGACCCCGCCCGGACCACACGCAGAGGCAGCAGAGCACAGTGGTTAGGCTGTGGGCTCTGGGGCCTATTTCAAATCCCACCAGTCACTTAGCCACCAATCACTGTGTGATCTTGAGCCAGACCCTTAATCATTCTGTGTCCCCATTTCCTCATCTGTAAAATGAGGTGACAATAATAATTGTATCTACCTAGCAAGGCTGTTAAGAAGAGGAACTATTTAATATATTAACATTTATATGATAATATAATAATATAACATAATGATAGTGTCTGGCACTTAGTGTCATACAAGCATTTGTTAAATAAAGTAAATTTACTAGGTTACCTGAATCCAGCATAAATATGGAAACACAGAGATGCCCCCATTTCTATAGCAGAAGAGGTGTCTGACCCCGAGGTGTAAATGCCATGGCTACACTAGGCTTAACTCAGATTGTAAATGGATTTGTGTTGCCTGGAGAGCTGCTAATGTTGAGCTAAGACCGAAGCACCCCCCAACTGCTACCTCCCACCCAGCAAACACTTCTCAGGGCAGAGACTGCACAGCATTAGCTTTAAATACAGGAAGAGACGCAGAGCCTACTGTGAAATGGCAGGGGGAGTCAGGGAGCTGCAAACGGCTCCAGCAAAGAGGTGAAAGAGAATTTACTTATTTTCTTCCCACTACTCAGGAATGATCAGTCAGAGAGATGGGAAATCTTATACGATTTATTCGGCAAATATTTACAGAGGGCCTATTGTATGTAAACTATGATCCTAGGCAACAGGCGATGGGATAAAGAGATTCTTGCCCTCAAGAGAATCCATAGTCTTTCTGAAGAAACACATACATGTGCAGACACATAGAAGAGAATGAGGACAAGGGAAAAAGAATGGAGCTACAGGGGATAAGCCAAGTGACAGCAAAGTGGCAGATGGCTCATCCTGGGTACCCACAAGCTGCGTGTTGGCAGGGCATGGAAAGACAGTAGCAGGGAGCTGGTGCACGTAAGTCAAGAGGCCACAGGGGCCAAACAGGACAGGGCCAGGGCAGGTGATGGAAAGCTGCACCTCCAAGCACCCAAAACACTTTGTGGCTGAGTTACCTGAGACCGAGTGAAAAAAAAGAAAGGCCTCTATTAGCGTTCTCTGGGTGTGAATCCCTGTAAGAATGCTGGGCAGGCCTCACCAAAAGGAACCCATCACTGAGTCCCAAATCCAGGCTTATGCGGAGTTGCTGTGCAGATGTCTGGAAAAGGGTCAAAGGCCCTTATAATTCACTGTCTTTGTGAGACACTCCCCCTCTTCTGTACTTGCTGTTTCTTATTCTATAGGCTCCATTCTCTCAAAATGGCTCTGCAGCTCCAGCTCACGTCTTTATGGGGCTCAGACCACAGAGGAGACCCTCCTCCTCCTCATTAGGGAAACATGATCCATGAAAGAATGGCTGGACACATCCTGGGTCAGACGTGCAACCTGGACTGACTCTGGGGCCCAGGAAGAAGAGGCAACTAAGCAGATGGCAGGGCCCACTTGGGTCTCAGGGCTAGAGCTGCGGCGAGCAGGGCGAAGTCAAACAAAACATGAACTTCCACATTCGCTTCTATCTGCTGATGGCGGTGAGAGCGCTGCCTCCATCAGGAGCGGGAGGCATTACTAAGCAGACCCTGCTGATACTCATTTTATGGAAAGAGAGGCCATCAAGGAGCTCAAGGATAGTATAAGGGCAGAAGTGGGGCAGGAGGCTGAACCAGGCAACTGGAAGGAACCCTTAAGTCTCTTGACTTCAACTTAGCTATGATGTGGCCTCCAATATTCTCTGCCCTGAACTGGGCACCCCAGTCACATCTTCCTAGTTTAGGAAAATTAGCAGAATCAGAAGTCAGAATAAAGTTCACTTGCTTGTTTCTTTGTTAATGTCTTCAATCTGACAAATCAAGACCTGAAGATTATCCTCCCCTGTGGGCAGCTCCAGATGGCCTAGACCCGGGGGCATCCCACCCAGGGGGAAGCACCTAGGACCACAGCCTTAAGCAGGCAGACACTCTGTACCATGAAGGAGCCCCACTGCAAGGGAGCCAGCGGCCAGCAGGACACACGCGCCTCCTGCATACGCTGAGAACTGTTGGTCATCTTTTATTTGCCTTTTCTTTTCTCTCACACAGCACTCACAGTTTATGCAGAGTCATCTCTAAGTATGGGCAATTTCCAAGCTTTCAGCTCTCTGCTCAGCTCTTGTCCTCTCTTCCCCAGGACACAACAGCTGTGGTGGGTTCCCTTTAGCCCTGGAGTTGGGTCAGGCAAAAAGCTGGTTGTGGCCTTGCCATGACTTGATTTGACCGGTCATACTTCTCCCACTGTGTAACCTGGGTCCAGCCCAGTGGGTGAAAGTCCTGCGTGGCTAGCCTGATGGGACGACCCCCTCACACTGGTCCTCCCAGACAGAAAGGGTCTTCTTCTGTTA